TGGGGGCTTAGTTCAGTGGCGCAGCACCTGCCTGGCAAGCATGAGGTCCTGAGTTTGATTCCCAGTACCGAAAAAAGAAAAAAGAGTCTTAAAATTCAAATAAGGAAATTGCTATGATGAACACAGAATTTTAAATATAGAATGTTGGTAAAAATTATGCATATAAAATATCTTCCATGCCAGTATAACTTTTTTAGTGTTGTATTTCTGAATTTTTTAGGTGGTTCATATATGCTCTCTTTGGGATCTTTTGATTGTTTGGGTTTTTTGATTGCTTGTTATCCAATTTGAAATATTCCTTTTCATCCTCGTGGGCATGATGGTAGCTGCTTTCCCCTAGAGAGAGCACCTGCTGCTGTGTGTCCCGTGCTCTTCTTTGTCCCTGGCGTTACCTGTCCCACGTCAGGGAGCAGGTGGATGACTGGATGTGCACCTCACAAACTCATCAGCTGTGAGAGGGCAGCTCATAATTCTGTCAATACCAGCTGGTACCAAAGTCAAATTTGCAATCATTTCTAACTTTTTATTGAAGTTACTGGCACTTTATGTCCTAACTGACATCATTAATTTATTTGTGTGGATCAGATTGAAAAATTCCAAATCTAATGCTTTAAAAATAGCACTTAGATGCATACAGCCTAAAACTGGCAAAAGTAAAAAAAAAAAAAAAAAAATGGGTATAGGATAAAGGAAAACTCCTGAAAGGATTTCACCTTCAAAAGAGTTAAAAACAGTAGTGATTCTCCCCTTGATTTTATTAAGCAAAATAAATTCTATTGTTTATAAAAAAAAGGAATTGGTCACTCTAGTCTGGATTATAGTCAAAACAAATAAACTGGTTTCTTCTTGTACAGAATTCACACTTTAACCTTGAATTAAGGCAGGTTAGAGTGAGAAAGGTCACCGACTTGAAATATTGAACTGTTTTAAAATAGGCATGGTTAGAATAGTCTAGATCAGAAATGGCAAACCTTTGAGAGACCAAGTGCCCAAACTCCAACCTAAAACCCACTTATTCACTGCAAAGTGTCAATGCTGTGATTAAACCTGAATACTGAGCCTTTAGTTTAGGAAAAACAACTACTATCTGATGCCTGGCTGCTGGGGTGACCTGGCTGAGGTTCCCACCACAGCACACATGCCCCAGCTTTGGCACCACTTGCTTAGGTCCATGGAATGCCTTTCACACCTCAACCAACAGATTTAAACATGGACAAAGTAGGCTCTCCTTTGCCACCTTCTCTGTGTGCGCCTCCTTGACTGTGGGCTCCAGGGCTGGTTGGCTGCTCCACCTTTGCTTTTCTCCAGGACATTGTGGCTGGAGAGAGCTCTGGAGGTTGTCAACTCCCTGATGTTATAGATGGGGAAACCAAGGCTCAGTAAAACTGTCAACAGCGTCAAGGTCGCAGAGCTCCATCTAGAACGTGGGCCAGTCGAGTTTGTGAAGATGATGTCATTTCTTATTAGTTTTGAGAAATTTCTCTAATTGTACCTAAATTTGGCCTTAATATACAAGGTCGACTAATATTTACAATAATGAGCACATATGGCTTTGAACGTCTATTAACTGGTATTGTTATTGTAGAGGTTTCAGTCTCTATCAGGCCACCATTATGTCAATATTCACTTTGGCTTTTAGGAGACGACAGATTGCATGAGTTCAGTCTCTGTTCAGCAAAAAATGTGAGCTAAAGTGCAGGGAGTATATTTTTTTCTGTGTGAAATTTGTTGTTTCTTCAGAGTTTGAAACTGTATTAAGTGAGATTTTAAATATTTTTGGTTTTAGCAAAGGTGGTTAAAGTTTACAGAGATTTTTAAAACCTAAGTCAGACTTTGAGGTGATTTATATGAACAGTTTAATTAAAATTTCATGTAACTAGAAAAGAATTGCTGCCTTGTATGCATTCTAAAGACGAATCTGAGAAGGCTGTCAGATACCCGCTTGCTGTTCTATGACTGGGATTTCAGCCAGGACATTAGGTTTCAGAGCCACACTTAGGCATTCAGTGTAAGGAAAAACTGGAAATTCTGCTTGCGGCATGAAATAGGGTAAAGAAGCCAACACTACAGAGAACGGAATTCAGATTGATGTTAGAGAACTAGTCGTACTCTCAGGACTCAATGTAAAAGGCAAAGTTCAAGTTCACTCACCCATGGGAGAAAAGCAAAAGTCTAAGACAAAAGACAAAGCTTGGCATTGCAAGTTTGAGCCCAGTGTGGGTGACTTAGGGATTTAGGGAAACCATATTTCAAAAAAAAAAAAAAAAATTTAAGGGATGGAGATGTAGCTCAGTGCAAAGGCTCTAATTTCAATCCACAATACTACCAAAATAAGAAAATTAAAAAAAAAAATCATCCTGGAGAAAAATGACCCAACCACCAACAATTATATAATATAGCTATAGAGATATAGACTGTAAAAATTAACAGATTGCAACCATGGGTACTGTTTTTCACATTACAGTTCTGTCTTTTTTTCAAGTGAAAAGCCATCATCACAAATCTCTGAAATTCATTCCGTACTTTTCTACCCCAGGTTATCTCTGCGGGTTCTCACAGGATATCACCTTTAGGGTCCTAAGCTGTTTATAGATGTAATGCTCTGAAGAACATCTTAGAGACTTCTAAGATTTTGCCAAATGATTTTATAGACTCATCCTGGATTAGGATTTTTCTCTGAAGTCCTTTCTGAATTTGAGAATTTTGAGGAGGCCTGGTGTTAAGCTTTAGGACTACAATGTCGCCAAAGTTCTCATGCATGAGGAAGGTGATTTGATCTTGGAGTGCACTGTCCTTATCAGTGGCTAAATGACTAAATTTGGGAGGTGGGGCCTGATGGGAGGTGGGTCACCGTGATGCGGAAGGTGTGTTCATGTCCCCAGCCACTCCCTGTTCTCTCTCTCTGCTCCTGGCTGCTGTGGGGTGAGCAGCTTTTCCTCCACCAGGCCCTCTGCCATCCAGCTTCTGCCTTGGAGCCAGCCATGGGCTGAGACTGTGAGCCAAAGCAAACCTCTCCTCCCTGAAATTGTGTGTTTTGGGTGTTGTATCACAGCACTGCGACAACACGACGAAGACCCCGCAGAAGAGAAAGTGTTTCGTGACTGAACCGAGGAAATACCGGTTCCTTTATGTGAGCAGTTGTTTACTTGCTGTTGTTCTTTACATTTTACTAGCAAGAAGCTACCACACAGCAGCTTCAGCACGGTGCAGAAACATGGTGGATCACTCATCTCATTGAGTGCTTTTTGACTTTCCATGCTTGCCACAGGTGACATTGTGGAGCTTTCTGCCCCGCCACAGGCAGGATCCTCTTTCCTCTAGTTTCCATAACTTTCTTCCCACTTTCCTTGAAGCTCTCCTTGACAGGTTCCTTGAAGGACACACAAATTCTGCTTCAACTCCTCAGGATGAAGCAAATACTGTTGGTACTGCAATGGGAAACGTCAGCTCACTGCTTTTCCTGCCCCAGGTTCTCTCTGGAAGGGAGTTGGGGCCAAGCACCTCCATGGACCAGGCCCACATCACCTGTGTGTCTTGTTAGCCTTCCCAGTCTCCTCTCCTGCCCTTGCCAGTAGCTCACTGTATGGGTTTGTTGTAAAAAACTCACATTAACTCCATGTTTTCAGATGCCACCAAATCATGATGCATGCGAGGCTGCCTTAGGTGGCTCTCAGCACCCCCTACGATGATGTTGTTAGTCCATGCAGAGCACTCTAGGCACATCTAGGTAGCAGTCTTTAAGGAGTTCTGTGGTACCCAGAACCAAACCTCAGCTCTAACACTGATTAGCTATGAGACCTTGGTCAAGATTTTGGCTTCTCTGTCTCAGCATCACCTTGGCCACCTCTCTGTCTCTGTCTCACCTTGGCCACCAAGTTCTTTGGCCTTTCTTTGTCTCCCCTTGTTGTGGTTTGGTCCTGGATGTCCTCCCAAAGCCTCATGCAGTCTGGGAGCAGGCTTCTAGAGCTTATGATTGATTCATGGGTGTGAGTGCTACACCCGCCCTGGGGCAGATAGTTTGTGTATGTAAAGGAGAGAAAGAGGCTGCTTGCTGCCACTCCTCCCTTTTGCTCTTGCTGCTTTTGCTGTCTTCCACTGCCATGAACTGTTGCCCTTTGTCAAGTGCCACTCTGCCTTGGAGCTAGCCAAGTATGGACTGAAACCTCCACAAACTGTGAGTTAAATAAGCTTTTCCTTCCTTAATTCCAGGCGTCAGGTATTTTGTCTCAGCAACGAGAGAAAAGTAACCAAGCCCCTCCCATGTTTAAAATGGGAAACAATAGCACTGTGTTTCTCACAGGGTCATTGGGAATAAGTGGAATAACACAGGTTAGTGAAAGAGTGAATAAAAACTAGGAGGTATGACAGACATTGTGAAATGAAAGGAAAATGCTCAAAAGTAAAGGGCAACTGGGGTGTGGGAAAAGAGAAGGGAAAGAAAGGGAAATTATGTGTATGTATATACAGGATAGCTAACATAGCTGTACTACTGTCTTCTATTGCTGTACAGAAAGGAACAGTTAATGATTACTTGATTGATCGCTATTGCATGTCTCTATTTGTTTCCTTGAGAAACCACTTTGAAGACATCAATAAGTAATACAACAACCATTGTTAATTTCCTACAACTTTGTCTGTAACTGTTTTGTTTGTATTGTTCTTATGTTATTTTGTAAATGGATGTCTGTTTGTTAATATGTATTCCTTCTTTATGTCTTAAAATTAAAAAAAAGAATAACACAGGTTAGGTCTTATAACAGAACCTAGCAAAGTGCAAATGTTCATTGTTAGCTATAGTTACTAATGGTCTGACCTAGTGGGCAGGGTACGTTCCTTGAGATTCTGGATTTTAAGGGAAAAGGGACCCACGGGTAGCTGCTTTGTCCTTTAAAGCACTCCTGTTGCTAGGGAGACACTCTAGGCATCTATTTCCCAAGAGGCTCTGATATGAACGGAATTCATCGGAATAACCTCTGATACCCTTCTGTCATCTGTCTCAGGTCTGCAGGACAACCCTTGGTTCTGTGACTGTCACATCTCCACAGTGATTGAGCTGTCCAAGGTTGTCAGCCCTACTGTGGTGCTTCTTGACACCCTCATGGTTTGCAATGAGCCTGAGCGCCTCACTGGGATCCTATTTCAGAGGGCCGAGCTGGAGCACTGTCTGAAGCCTTCGGTGATGGCCTCAGCCACCAAGATCACATCCGCCCTGGGCAGTAACATTCTGCTGCGGTGTGATGCCACTGGCTACCCGACCCCACAGCTCACATGGACCAGATCTGATGGCTCGCTAGCTAATTACACAGGTATTGTCCCCATTCTTCCTGAAAAATGAGTTCACAGAAGCCTGAACTCAATCTCATGTTTTTGTGCACGAGATTAAGTTGAAGTTGGCTGGTTCATTCTAATAAAACATGCCAAGATTGCTTGATGCCAGGAGTTTGTTGGAGCCTGTTGTTGTTGTTTTGCAGTGCTAGAGATTGAACCCGAGTCTTCAAGCATGCTAGGCAAATGCTCTACCACTGAGCTGTCCCCATAGTCTCCTTGATGCAAAGGATCTGAAGACTATGTTCCTGGTTAAAATTTTCCTCAGTTTATTTAATGACCTAGATAACATTACACAATCTAAAGTAGAAAGCAACATGATACAGTAGAAAGATGATTCCTGAAAACGTCTTTTCCATATTGGATATAGCTTACTTCAAAATGTACAACCATGGTTAAGTGTGGTGGTATACATCTCTCATCCCAGCACTCAGAAGGCTGAGGCAGGAAGATTGCCATGAGTCTGAGGCCAACCTGGGCTACATAGTGAGTTAAAAGCCAACCTAAACTACATAGCAAAACCTTGTCTCAAAAAAAAAAAAAAAGTGTGACTGTCAAAAACCTTTTGTAAAGGGACTATAGTATCATACAAGCTTCTTACTTTTGAATAATTGTGTAAATAATAAGTTACACAGACAACTTAGGAGAAAAAAGTACAATTTTCAGAAATAGCAATTACATAGACTTTGTGGATCCTACTCTGTCCAACCTATGCTTTGGCTCCAGTTTCAACAATGATATTCTAGGGCTGGGGATATAGCTCAGTGGCACAGGCACCTGCCTAGCAAGCACAAGGTCCTGAGTTCGATTCCCAGTACAAAAAAAAAAAAAAACAGTGATATTCTAATGATGAAAAGGGTATATTTTTAAAACTGTTCAAAATTAAGTTAAAACGGAGGTTATAAAATAAAACTTGATGAACTAAAGTTATTAAGGCCTAATGTTTCTATAGATCATTACTAAACAACTCACAATCTAAGCTCGAGTGAATTTTGGAGTATCCTGTTGTGTACATTATTCTTCCTCAGAAAGCTTCTGCAACCAAGACAGAATGGAAATATGTTCAGAGTTCAGTGTTTAGGAAAGCGGAATTCCAATTTTGTAAAAACTTGGTATTCTGCAAAGAAATCTATAATTTAGTTTATCTCTGTTAAATATACAATGAATAACTTCAAATACAAATGATGACTCCTCTATGCTAGAAAAAGATCTGCTATACCTACTGGCTTTGTAGGTAGATGGATTTAATTATGGCCAAAAATATCTTGAGAACTATTTATGTAAGGTCTCACAATAAATATCTTGTAAAATCATAGTTAAAATGGAAAGGGGCTTTTAAGACCACTTTGTCTTTTCGAGACAGGGTCTCAACAAGCAGTTCAGGCTGGCCTTGAATTCACTTTGTAGCCGAGGCTGGCCTCAAACTCACAGCAATCCTCCTGCCTCAGCCTCCTGAATGCTGGGATTACAAGTGTGTGCCACCCTGCCAGTATCACTTTGTCTTATCCTTTCATTTTACAAATGCAGGAACATTTGTTGAAAGATACAAATTGATTTGTTTAAATCATATACTTTTTAGTGGATAAGAGTTCACTAAATCCCAACTGCCCTGATTTCCATCCCCACATCATTTTATTTTTTATTTATGTATTTATTTTTTTATTGGCTATATCCCTTTTAATTTTTAATTTTTATTTTTTTTGAAGAGTAAAAGAAGGATAACATAATAATAGAGGGTGCTTACCAAATTACAGACAAAGTGGTAGGAAATTATGGTTTTTGTTTTACATATTGTTATCCCACATCATTTTAAGATATCATTTCCCATGCAACTCTCAGAACACCTGGAAGGTCCTGGGCTTCAAGTAAACCATTTGTTGAACACCACCCACGATCAGCTATCCATGCAGCACCATTTCCCTGTTGGCTGGGATGCAGGGAGCACAGACAGCAGTTTCCTCCTCAGGTGGCGCGGTTTCTCAAACTTTTCCCTTTTTTCTCTCAGTCTGTGCATTTGTTTTTTTTTCAGTAATTCAAGAATCTCCAGGAGATGGAGTCAGATGGTCCATAATAAGCTTGACAGGCATTTCTTACAAGGATGCTGGGGATTACAAATGCAAGGCCAAAAATTTGGCTGGGATGTCTGAAGCTGTGGTGACAGTGACGGTAGTTGGTATTGTCAACACCACCCTATCACCTGACACTTCTGAAAGCAGAAGGAGTGGTCACCCTGAGGCAGAGGCACGGCCAGGATCTGGACACTTGACATCCACACCCACTTCACGGTCATCCTCCTGGTCCTCTTTCTCCTCTTCTTCCACTTCTCTTTCTGCTTCCACTTTGTCTCCTCCCTCCACTGCTTCCTTCTCTTCATCTCCTTTCATGTCCACTGTTTCTTTAATGACCCTGAGAAGCAGCATTTTGTCAGGCGAGACCAGAGCGAGCAGGCAGTCTCTGCAGCTGCACCCACATGGGAAAACAGACGTGAAGGCAGAGAAGAGCGGAGGCGAGCTTCCTCCAGCCAGTGCCAGTAAGAAAGAGGAGCGGGCACTGCTGGGTCATGCAACACCCATGGAGACGAACGCCACCATAGAGGACCTGAGGGTGGTCAGCGAGACAGAGGAGAGTGTGACTCTGACATGGAACAGTGTCAATGCCACACATCCTTCTGCAGTGACAGTGCTGTATTCCAAGTACGGTGAGAAGGACCTGCTGCTGTTGAATGCAGACTCCAGCGAGAACCAAGTTACCATAGATGGCTTGGAGCCGGGTAGGCGATACGTGGCATGTGTGTGTCCCAGAGGGATGCCTCCCCAGAAGGACCACTGTGTCACTTTTTCCACCGACAGAGCGGGAGAAGATGACCCCCAATGGATTTTCCTCATCATAGTGACCAGTGCTGCCTGTGTTGTTGCAGTGCCGCTAATTTGTTTCTTACTGTATAAAGTTTGCAAACTACAGTGTAAGCCAGAATCCTTCTGGGAAGATGATTTGGCAAAAGAGACTTATATCAGGTTTGAGACCCTGTCACCCAGGTCTCAAAGCGTAGGGGATCTCTGGACACGAAAGTGCAGAGATGACTCAGAGAAATTGTTGCTGTGCTCTAGGTCGAGCGTGGAATCACAGGCGACTTTGAAAAGTGAGAGCTGCAGACCAGAGTATTATTGCTGAGGTTTGCAGTCTGGGTGCCGTGAGTTCCAAAATTGAGGATGTAAGTGTTCAGTTGTAGGATTCTGGACAAACTTTCTTACCTACATGAAAACACAAGTGAAGTGTTTTTCAGTGTTTTTAAAGAAAATACTATGAGACTTCTGAACTGAAGACAGCCTTGATTTTTGTTGCATGGATGATGGCATTAGAAATAATTTCTAGGATGGTGCTTCATATATTAACAATAATTTTTACAGTTAGTCCTTAAAATAAACTTTTATAAAGATAGTTGTAACAAGTGGACTCTGCATTTTAAAAAAGGTAGTTTTCTGAACAGTGAAGAAAGATTAGTATAAGTGGCTAAGCCTTGATGTTCATTCACATGCAAAGTGTTTTACTGAGATTGCTGTGGACTTGTGCTGCTACTGCCTAGGGCACGAGTGTGGGATGTTGAAGAATTCGGTGATCACAGAGCTTTAAATACATCTAAGTGGAGAGGGATGGTTCTGTGTCTTTGTATCATTATGCATTATAATACTGGATAGTCGTGTTCATATTTCATGTCAAAATATTTTCCCTTGTCCCTAGAGATACAAGTGTTAGCAAAAATGAGATTAAAAAGATGAACATGACCAATACACCATATATATGTATATATATAATTTAACACACGCTGATACACTGTGATAAATACAAAGTAATTTGCTAATTTTTAAACAATGTCTTTAATATTTTTATATTTTTCTTTTCTCTTTGTCTTCTTCCCCTTTCTTTTTTTTAATTCCTTTTTTAACCTCTTTGATCTGAAGATGTACAGATAGCCAAATGATCACAAACTAAACTGTTTTTCTCTTTTGCCACATTATATTTTGATTCTCTAGACAAAAAGAATGACTCTGAAATTATTAACTACCATTTGAAAGTCTTTTTTTAAGATCCCAAAATGTTATTTTAGGGTTCTGAAAGAAAAACTTGAATGGGTTCACTTTGGTCAAGCTTTCATCCTAGGTTTAAAACATCAGAGGGAATTGGAGTAGTTTAATGAATACATAGGAAAGAGGCTTCATAAGTAATATTTAGATTTTCTTAAAAAAGAACTTTTCATTAACTATAGTGGACTATAAGAGAGAATGTGGCTGATAAGACTAATAGAAGCTCTAAAGTCCACTCAGCATCTCACAGGGCTGACACTTCACACGTCACAATGTGACCCGCTGCGGATGTCCCAGAGGCAAGGCCACCTCGGCACAGAGGCAGCTGTCATGAACCTTAGGACAAACCAAAACTTGCAAGAGCTGAAACTCACTTTATGAAAAACACCCAGTAACTGGTTAAGAGTGGACACAGGTATGAGGAAGGGGAAGGAAAAAGCAAAGGTTTTTCATGTCATTTGAGAGGTCTCTTTATAGGTTGTCACCAGGCAAAAGCTGCCACCATCATTTTTAAGACTGTCCTGGACACCTCCAGGAAGGGGACAGACTCCCAGGATGAGATGATTCATGAAGATGCCTTATCTTGAAGAGCCAGGTGCCAGCTGATGTCTCCAGTCCCAGCATGCAGAACAGCACTGGGGCCAGAAGGACCCTGGTGCCATGATGCTGCAGACCAAGAAGGCTAAGGCAGGGCTCCTCTGCAGAAAGCTTATCTGTGGCCCACCAATGTGTCCCTACCCACTGGCTTCCTTGAGTCCCGCCCCCAAGGCCAGTTTCTGTGGTTCAAGGGTTTTAAGTGTCCCAGTTAGACAGCTTCCTACGGTGATTTCTCCCCTTCAGATACGTGTCTCAGGCAAATCAAAGCCACAATAAAATTCTGAGTCCAATTCACTGTACCAAAAAGAAAAGAAGGTCACTACATCTTTGTCAGTGGAACAGTCTAAGAGGAAGTTATAACAATCATAAATATATATGCATGATATACTGGTACACCCAATTATATTAATAGACATGAAAAATCAAATAAGCACAAATACAATTGTAATGGGGGACCACAATACCCCACTGTCACAACTAGACAGATCAACCAGACAAAAAAAAAAAGAAATATCAGAGTTGAACCAAACTTTTGAACAAATGGATTTAGTAGATGTCTACAGAATGTTCTACTCCACAACATCAGAATACACATTCTTCTCAGCTGCACAAGGGATGTCCTCCAAAATAGACCACATACTAACTCATAGAACATGCTTAAGTAAATGCAAAGGAATTGAAATTATCTCATGTATGTTATCAGACTACAGTGCAGTGAAACTGGTAATCAATGGGAAAAGAACCACAAAAGCTTCAAAAACAGATGGAAATTAAATAACACCCTCCTGAACAGCCAATGAGTCACAGATGAAATTAAGAAATTAGACAGTTTCTACAATTACACAATAATGCTAATGCACCATACTGGAGGTTATGGGATGCAAAGAAAGCAGTCTTATGAGGGAAATTTATAGTGATGAATTCCCATATCAGAAAAACAGAGTGAGCTCAGATAAACAGGCAAATGTTGAAACTCAGGCTTCTACAAAAAGAAGACCAAGTTAAACCCAAATGTCATATGGGGGAGGAAATTATAAATATATGAGCAGAAATTAATGCAATTGAGACTGAGAAAACAATACAAAGAATCCTCGGTGAGATACTGGCAAACAGAATGCAACCAATCATCAAGAAGATCATATGCCATGAGCAAATGGAATTCATTCCAGAGTTGCAGGGATGGTTCAAAATATGCAAATCAATACATTTAGTATACCATATCAACAGAGCCAAGGACAAAAGCCATATTATCATCTCAGTAGATATACAGAAAAAACATTTGACAATGTGCAATATCCATTCATGCTAAAAAAAAAAAAACTCTACAAAAAATTGGAATAAATGGTCTTCATCTCAACATGACAAGGGCTATTTATGACAAACTAACAACCAACATCATACTAAATGGTCAAAAAGCAAAAACTTTCACCCTAAAATTAGGAGAAAGGCAAGATTGTCTACTATCACCACTCCTGTTAAATACAGTTGTGGAAATATTAACCAGAACATTTAGACAAGAGAAAGAAATAAAAGCAATGAGCATAGCAAAGGAAGAATTTAAAATATAATCATTTGTAGATGCCATGATACTCATCAAAAACTCCACCAAAAGACTTCTAGACTTATTAATCAAATTCAGTAGTGTCGCTGTATACAAAGTCACCACTCAAAAATCCATAGCATTCCTGTACACAAATAACAGATTCACTGCGAGAGAAATCAGGGAAACAACACCTTTTACAATAGCACCCCCTAAAAAATGAAATACTTAGGAATCAATCTAATGAAGGAAGTAAAAGACCTTTATATTGAAAACTACAGTGCTTGAAAAAATGACATTGAAGAGAATATCAGAAAATGGAAAGGTATCCCTTGTTCTTGGGTAGGAAAAACCAATATAGTGCAAATGGCCATCCTTCCAAAATTGTTACACAGATCAAATGCAATCCTGATCAAAATTCCAACAGCATATCTCACAGAATTAGACAAAACAACCATAAAGTTCATTTGGAACCAGAAAAGACATAGAATAGTGCTGCCGTCCAGCCGCAGCAGGTCCAGGAGATTCCTGCAGGAGGGAATGACACAGGCAAGGAGACAACACAGACACTAGAGGCCCTTCTGGTGGGGCAGGGGAGCAAGGCTCCTCTGACACAGAGAAATGTTTTTTGCTTTATTATATACTTTTGCAACTACATATGAAACTTCGCAGGTGATCAACCTTTCTAAAGCACATAGAAAAGGAAGCAAAAACATCAATCACTAGAAGTTCTTGATTAGGTATAATTTTTCAAAGAATTGTTTACTTGTCTCCTGGACAACAGGACCCACATTTACAATATCTCCATCTAGAGCCAGTCTAGCACACACAGGGCCTTTGCCTGTTTTCCCATGCACTGAGGTTTGCACAGCACTGCCCTCCCATTCTGGTGGGTGAACATTGCCACACAGGAGGTAGGGGACTAATGCACATCTCTGTGGTGGCTTCTACTTCCTCTTTCAATCCTAAAATGGTGCCTTTTGTCTTGGGCTCTGATTCCTTAAGTACTTTCAGTTCTGATCCTTCAGGTCCCCAACCATCCTTTATCAATAGCACAATAAATATCTGGAAAGCTATAATTAGTATGGAGAGTAGAGAGAGGCTGCACACCCATCCTATGTGGTTCCTGCTTTGCAGATATCCACTGCCAGTCCTGACTGTGTCAAGGAACTGGCACTGGAAGGTCTCTGGCAGAAGGGTAAAAGCAATTCTGGGGAACAAAGGCCAGGCAGGGAGTATCACATTTCCCAATTTGAAATTATACTACAAAGCTACTGTGATAAAAGCAGCATGGTACTGCAGAAAACAGACCTGAGGATAAATGAAACAGGCTAGAAGATGTAGCGACAACTCCAACACACTCAACCATCTTATCTTTGACAAAGGAGCCTACCACCTTCACCAGAAGAAAGAAGCCTCTTTGATAAATGGTACTGGAAAAACTGGCTTTCCACATGCTGAAGATTAAAACTAGACCTATATGTTTCACAGTGCATTAAATTAGCATTGAAATGGATCAAAGATGTAAACATGAGAACAGAAATACTAAACCTGCTTGAAAATAGAATAGGTAGAACTCTTGAAGTCATTGGTGCAGGCAAAGACTTTATGAACAAAACCTCAGTTGCACAGGAAACACCAGGAAGAATCAACATCTTATCAAAAGGCTTTTGCACAGCAAATGAAACCACCAACAGAGTGAAGAGACAACCCACAGTCTGCTGTATCTCACATGGACTCATATCTAGAATATATAAAGAACTCAAATAAATCAGACTTCCCCAAATTTAAAGACCCAATCAAAAAAAGAACACTGAGGGGTTGGGGATTTAGCTCAGCGGCAAAGCGCCTGCCTGGCAAGCGCAAGGTCATGAGTTTGATTCCTGGTACCCGAGAAAAACCAAAAAAAAAAAAAAAAGAACACTGAAATGAATACACACTTCTCAAGTGAA